TGTTGTTTAGCTTCTATATTTGTTACAATGTTGCTTAGAGTGCAGCTGAGAGGCCGGCAAGGCAGGCGGGGAAGCTTGGCTTCCTCCGTCACTGAAGCAAGCAAGCCTCCCTATTCGCATCAGCTGCCTGGGTGCTGGCCGCCATCTTGGCTGGCAGTTAATTTTATATCTCCCTGATTAGCCAATGGGAAGGGTAGCGGTCATACGCTAATTACCATGCTTCTCTTTTATTAGATAGGATAATAGACTATCCTGTCTAATAAAAGGGTAATATGAAAATCGACTGGTGGAATGACCAGTCACTATGACACGTACTGACCACGAGCGGGCAGATACTCAATGCAGGGCCTCTTGGTCCCTTTCCCCGGCCAACAGGCCTCGATTGCCCAATGGTGAATGGGGAACCGAGGGTGGGTGGCGGTAGGGCACGGAGCTGGCTGCCAGCAACCTGGGAAGATGGCTCTGATCGCAGGCCAGACCTAGGAACCGTATCTGTGCACGAATTTCGTGTGCCGGGCTTCTGGTTTAATATAGTAGAATGTAAGGTAGAGCAATTACAAAATATAGGTACTTTTTGAAGTCTTAAATTCTTCATTTTAGAAAGTATTATTAAAATTCAAATTTTTGCTCTGTTCACTACCTTTGCTTTCTTGTTGAATTAAAATTCTATCTTATGGTGTTGACCAAGTCATACTATTAAATTTAGTAAGTTTATTATTTTATTCACCTTTCCCTTTATTTCCTTCACATTGTATTTTTCCAAAATAATGACATTTTTTGACATACAGCAAAGTTGAAACAATCTAAAGTGTGCACTCATATTCTCATAACCTGTTTCTCAAGTTTACTCTATGTGCTCTGTCATTTATGTGTCAATCCATATTATTTTTTGATTCAAATAAGTTACAGACCTAAGTATACCTCCTAAACATTTCAGAATGAGCATCATTAACTAGAGTTCAGTGTTTGTTTAGGATATTTTTTATTTTTGAGATAAAATTGTATGCAATGAAATGGACAACTTATGTGTACAATTTCATGACTTTTCACTAAAACACAAATCTGTGTAACCTAAATCTCTCTTAACACATTGTATGCGGGAAACGTATTTATACTTTTTACATTGACTGGTAGTAGAGCGCGGGACACGTATTAATACGTTTTTTATAGACTAGCGGTAGAATGCGGGTAATGTATAAATACGTTTATTTTTATACTTTTTTATTGCTCTAAAGGGATGCTAACATGCAGATATACGAATTCCAAAGGACAAAATTTGGGTCTCTAACACATACAATGATGAATTATGTATGTCATTCCAGGTATAATGGTAATCAATCTATTCAACTGCAAAAATGGTCCACGCCACCTGTTAGCGCGCAATAAAAACTACCCGCAAACAATGTGTTAAAATCTAGAGCATTATCCTTGTCACAGAAAGTTCCCTCATGCTCCTTCCCAGTGAATCCTCATCACTACCCCCACCCCAGAATTTCTGATTATTTTTCTACCGTAGATTAACTGCACCTCTTCTAAAAATTCAAATAAATGAATTACTATGTACCCTTGTATATACTATGTTTTTTAGATTCATACTAGAGGCCTGGTGCACAAAATTCATGCACAGGTAGGGTCCTAGGCCCGGCTGGCGATCAGGGCCAATCGGGGCCTTCCAGCTGTTTGCCGGGGCCTTCCTTTGTGCTGCACCATCTCCTGGTGGTCAGCGCACATCATAGTGAGCAAACAAACACCTGGTCAAACTCCTGAGGGGACACTTTGCATATTAACTTTTTATATATATAGATTGTTTCATGTATCAATAGTTTATTCCTTCTTAATACTAGTAGTATTGTATGAGATAGACATTTTTAAAATATGAATTTACAGTTGTATCACCTGCTTGTTTTCTTTTTCTGTAAGATGGCTTTGGCATCTTTGTTAAAAATTAAATGGGCATAAATGTGGATTTATTTCTGAGCTTTCTGTTCAGTGCCTACTAATATTATAAATTCAGCATTTTTCCCCTCACACTAATTTCCAGTTGTAGCCCCATTTGTTGAAAGAGTTTTGCTTCCCCTTTGGATTGCTTTGCTGCCTTTATCAAAAATGATCATGTAACTGTGGTTTTATTTCTGAGCTTTCTATTTAATTTTGTTGATATGTTGGTCAGTCTTTATGTTAGTACCATATGGTCTTAATTTAACAAGTCTTTAAGTCTTAAGTATAAGATCTCCAATTTTGTTCTTTGTCAAGATGTGTTCTAGATTCTTATATTTCTACCTAAGTGATAGAATCCGCTTGTCTCTTTCTACAGTTAATCTGCTGCAATTTTGATTAGGATTATATTGAATCTACAGAGTAATTTGGGAAACTTCCCATCACTTAACATGCCATATTTTACTGTTTGTTTAAATTTTTTTCAGTTTCTCTGCAATGTTTTATGGTTTTCAATGCCTCATTAAATTTTTAATGGATTTTAAAACTGTATCGTTCCCTATTTTTCTTCCTATAGGCTCTGGATCAGTATCATTGTATGAGGTAGAAAGATGTCAACAACTATCAGCTACAAGTAAGACCATGTTTCATTTTTGAAATATAGCGTAATCGTGAGCATATTAAAACCTGTTCTTCCACATATCAACAAATTCATTTCTATTAAATATTGAGAGCAGATGTCCGTGAGGGCAAAAACATATCTATATTTCTCTTTTATTCCTCTACCTCATCCTAACTAGCATAAAATGAAACCCAGAAAAGATATTCTCAGATAATGATGGAACATGTCACATCTTGTTCAAATTGAGCATCAAAATAAAACATACTAGTGATGGAATAGAACTTACTGAATAAAGTAGAATCCACTAGCTCATGTGGAGAGTAAATAAAAGAACAAAACAAATGAAGTTGAATGGAAAACTCTTTAAACTTTTTTCCCCCACTTATTTTTAGAGACTGGAAGGGAAGGAGGAAGGGGGGAGAAAGAGAGAGAGAAACATCTATGTGAGAGAGAAACATTGATGGGTTGCCTCCCATAGGAACCCTGGCCAGGGCAAGGGATTGAACCTACGAGGTATGTGCCCTTGACCAGGAATTGAACCCAGTACACTTCTGTGCAAGGGATGACACTCTCACCACTGAGCAGCACCAGCCAGGACTCTTATTAAAAATAGAATGGCAACTAATGAATGTAAAATGAATGATGAAGCTACGAAAAAAGACACCATTTTGCAACCATGATAGCAATTGATTTATTTGTGAATCGCCAGTGTGTCCTAAACTAGTGGAATCTTTGTTTAATAAGATTGGGATATTTATGTTTTCCCCAATTACTTTCTTATTAATTAAAAAGGGGAAAAATAAATTTATAGTCAAGAAATCTGTTGAACACCACCTTAACCAACAAAATTAAATCCCCAGGAAAGAAAACACTGATATCGTATGCCTCTTGATCTGATACATTGAGGAGGAAGGTCACAATATTATTTATATAGTAATATTCCTGCCAGAAATGCATATTTGTATCTGATCATGAGAAAAGCCAGGCACAACCAAAGAAATGGCCTCTTCTCAAATACATCAGTGTCATGAAAGACAGAGTAAAGCTGCGGAACCATTCTCCCCTTTGAACCAAAGGGGTTCAAAGAGATTTGAAAAGTAAATGAAATTCATGGCTCATGATTGGATTCTTAACCCAGAAATGAAATGCCGAATAAGAATATTATGAGAGGACTGTTGGAGAAATTTGAATAAAGTCTGTTGTATTACGTAAATGAAGTCTTGTTTTTGTGAAATACACACTGAAATATTTAGGGTTAAAGGGGTGTGATGTCTGGAAATTATTCTCTAAGGCTTCTCATATACACACAATTACAAATGAATTATGTATCTGTAAAGTATGGGGTGTCCCCAAAAAATGTATACACACACTATCAACTGTTAGAATGTACATACATTTTTGGGGGAACACCCTGTATATGTGGAAAGAGAGAGACAGAGATAAAGACAGATGGAGATGATGATAAATGTGGAAAAATCTTATCCAGGTTGACAATACAATTTAAATGGATTTTTTAGAATATATTTTCAAGGAGATTCGTGTCATGAATATACTTATTATTCTTATAGATTATTCTACCTTAATCTAAAATTTCTTTATAGTACTTACAGATCATCAATATTTGGAGAACACCCCGCTATGTGCTATTTTGAAACAAAAAGCTCCCCAACGATATCGTATCCGAGCAAAATTGAGATCGTATAAGCCCAGGAAACTCTTTCAGTCTATTAAACTTTATTGTCCTAACTGTCAGTCAATGTAAGTATCTTCCATAATATCATAAGTTTCATTTCATAATACTTATACATATATGTTTTCATATATGTCAGTTTGAGTCCTGGAAATGAGTAAATTGTGATTTTCTGCATTATGTTTAGATAGAATGCTACCATTTTTAAGAGAAAATACTAAATTCTTAGAAAGTAAATCCTTCTGATATTTCTTAGTAATAACAAATAAAAGTAGGGGCTATTTTTAGATGTGAAATTCAACTTAGTAGCTCTGTCAAATGCAGACAAATAATATACTATGAAAATATTTGGGGAGACTTACTCATTTGTCACAAAAAATATTCTTAAAAATAAACCATTAGCTACTATAATTTTTTATTATTTAAATTAAATTTATTAGGATGACATTGTTATTAAAATTAATGATTTCATGATTCTTTACATAGAAAATGCTAAAGACTCCACCAAATAACTATTAGAAACAATACATAAATACAGTAAAGTTGCAGGATTCAAAGTCAATGTACAAAAATCCACTGCATTCCTATATGCTAACCATGAAATTTCAGAAAAATAAATGGAAAAAACAATTCTTTTGCATTTGCAACAAAAATATAAAAGACCTAGGAATAAACTTAACTAAGAACATGAAAGACCTATATACTGAAAACTATAAAGCATTATTAAAAGAGATTGAAAAAGACACAATGAATTAAAAAGATAGTCTATGTTCATGGATTACAAGAATCAACATAGTTGAAATGCCCATATTATCCAAAATAATATACAGATTTAATGTAATCCCATCAAAATCCCAATGACATTTTTTAAAGAAATAGGAAAAGTAATCATCACGTTTGTATAGAATTACAAAAGACCCCAAATAGTCAAAGCAACTAAAATTCTTAAATAGAAAAGACATCTGATTAGTTGAAAAAAAATTTTTTTTTAACTGACATAGAAAGCCTTGTTGGAAATATTTCTCTCCTATTTAATAACTATAACATAGTAAATGCAACTTAAATTATTGTTAGTAATTGAAAATTTCTCAGTACCTTGAAGTGTTCATTCTAACCATCAATTATTATAATACTAGGGGCCCAGTGCATGAATTCATGCCCTTGAAAGGAATTGTGGGCCTCAAGGCTGCGGTGGGCACAGTTGCAGGTCTCTGCTCATCCTCCACGCCCTCGCCTGGCACCTCCCGCCACAGGTCCTGTCTGCGGGCAGCTCCTTTCCCGCTGCTCCCACAAGCTGATGGCGCCAGCCCCGCTCCCATCCGCTGACGGCAGTAGCAGGTGTGAGCGGGGCCGGTGCCGTCAGCAGGTGCGAGCAGTGGCTGCTGCCCCAATTGCCCCTCAGGAGCAGAGAAAGGTGGAGAAGCCCTCAGGGGCAATTGGGGCCAGTAGCCGCCACTCCTACCCGCTGACGATCCTGAGCAATCGAGACCAGCGCCATGCACCAGCAGCGGGGTGCAAGCGCCGTGCAGGATATCAGTGCGTGGGAGCAAAGAATTTTCAGTAACCACCATAGGCTCGGCCTGATGACAGCGACCAGTGCCCTGCCTTGGTCTGGTGCCCCCACTCACCTCTATCATCCTGCCACGGTCAACGCCCACCATATTCCGTGCGCACCTCCTGGTGGTCAGCGCACGTCATAGACTGGCTGTTTGGTTGTTCCGCTGTTCGGTCTATTTGCATATTAGGTTTTTATATAGATAGATAGATAAACATATAAATGTATAAGACATTAGAATGAATGTGTACTTACTAGCTTATTAGCTCAACAATCTTCCCTCTAAATATATGATGTATTAATACTATATACGCATCTCAATTATATTTGTGTGCTTATATATTGGTTGTGTTTATGCCTCCGTGTACACTGATATATGTATAGTCCCATCTGAAATCTAAGTGTAATACTGTTTGTAGAGATTTTTGATCATCATGTCTTCTTAACTGAAAAGGGGGACTGTCTTCTGCCCATTTGAATTTTAAATGATAGTTGGAATTAAAGTATCAGACGGATTTTAGATTGTTCTTGAAGCATTATCAAATGATAGTTTGTCAAATTCTGTAATATCACTTAACTTTGTGAAACAAAATCACCCTCTGTGATCATTTTTTACACAAATAAGGAAATTGCCTCACAAAGGTTAAGAGGTGTTACCAAAAGTCACACAGCTGGTTGATTCCAGATCATGCCATTTCTACTCAAGCATACTTTACCATGTGACTTTTCAAAACTATTACTCTAGATTAAAAGGAATCAAAACAAATATTGGTTTGTGAAGTAGATGCCCTATGACAGTGAGAGTTCTTAGGTGCTAAGTGGGTTGAAGACAAGGAGGGGACTGCTGCATTTTCTTATCCCACCAGGAAGTTGAGCATTCCTTACAAAGGAGAACAAATTGGTACTAGAAATAATTATAATTAAAAACTTGGATATCACAGAACCAGGCAGGGAAGTTGCTGGTGGTTAATGTAAATATTGATAAGGAGCTACTTAGCCATGAAATATAAATATCTTTCTATTGAATAATAGGCTTTAATCAGAAAAGTGAATTATCTCCATATTTTAAAATAAGCTGGTTCTTCAGCACATAAACAATTTCTTTATTGGATAATTTGGAAAATTTGAATTTACAATCTTATGCCAATTGTTTTGTGTTTTTTCATTGTTGATTCTTTTAGGCAGGAAGTTCTGCACGAAGGTGATTTGGATCGAATTTTGCAAGAGAACGCAACTAAAACTCCCAATACTCAACTACAAAATACTTCATTATATGATTCGAAAGTCTGGTCCACTAAAGATCAGGGAGAACGACAAGTAGCTGTTCATTTTGTGAAAAATAATGGTATTCTCCCACTTTCAAATGACTGTCTAATTTTGATAGAAGGTAAGATATTTAAGTTGTTTTATTAGGTTATAGATTTCTTATGTCTTTCTCTAATTATTATTAAACTTATTTTAGGGACAACCTAGGACAGTGATGGCGAACCTATGACACGTGTGTCAGAGGTGACATGCGAACTCATTTTTTTGGTTGATTTTTCTTTGTTAAATGGCATTTAAATATATAAAATAAATATCAAAAATATAAGTCTTTGTTTTACTATGGTTGCAAAGATCAAAAAATTTCTATATGTGACACGGCACCAGAGTTAAGTTAGGGTTTTTCAAAATGCTGACACGCCGAGCTCAAAAGGTTCACCATCACTTACCTAGGATATATTAAGTCAAAATATTGTTAATTTAAATTTCATAAAATGGAATATATTATCAATAACAACTAGATTCAAATATATACATACACACATATATATATTTATCTGAATGACATTTGAAATTATACATTAAATTCAGGTGTTTGCATTTGTTCATTTTGTTGGATTTTTGCATGTAATTTTAATCAGATCGAAGCTGATTATCAAGCTGAGTAATAATTAAGAGGCTGCTTGTGATGCACAGTTGCTGTTATCTTGGCCTCTGGATGTCACTATCGCTTCATAAAAGTAGAATGAAATACCATATTTGCCGGCGTATAAGACGACTGGGCGTATAAGACGACCCCCTAACATTTCCACTCAAAATACAGAGTTTGTTATATACTCGCCGTATAAGACTACCCCCTCTTCCGCACACCTTCCACACACCAAATAAAAGGTAAAACAATATCAGATTTGATTTTAACATTTTAATTTATATTCAAATGCTTATGACATGCAGGAAAACTGTCACAAGGCTGTATGTAATCAAACATATACATAAAACAGTGCAAGTTTATTACCGGTAAACATACCGGTAATTCACTAAAGAAAACACACTCTATAGACTGGTACCGTAGATGCTTCTCAGGAACACAGGCAAGCAGCCCACAACCTAGAGGGACTGTCAATGATAGAAGAAAGATAACAAATAGAGGTAGAGAGCAAGTGCCGGGCAAGTCCCTAGCAA